AAGGCCGTCCACAGTGAGCGGCCAGTGTCCATCCTTCCTGAGTGACAGTCACTGTGCTCACAGGTCAAGCTCTGCTGATCTCCTCTTCAGTTGCTGGACGTCTGGGTGGGTTGGCGTCTTCTTGGCTACTGTGAGCAGGGTTGCTGTGAACAGCAGTGTTGTCTGTGTGCCAGTTTCTGTGCGGATGTGTGTTCCTCTGTCTTGGACACACTTAGGAGTGGAGCTGGGAGTCGCGACCGCACCATTTTACGTTCTTGCTGGAGGTGCGGGATTCTGGCCTTTGCACAGCCTCACCAGCACTTGTTACCTTTTGATCATGTGGGTGTGAAGTCGGGTCTCCTGTGGCTTTGATTTGCATTTTCCTGATGACTGATGACATCAAATACCTTTTCCTGTGATGATTGGTCGTTTGTGTATCTCTTTAGAGAAAGGTCTGTTCAGATTTTTGCCAATGTAAAAATTTGATTGCTTGTCTTTTCTTATTGACTTGTAGAGATCTTTAAATATTCTTATTGGTTTGCATACATCTTCTCCATTGCAGGCCATCTTTTCACACTGCAGCACAAAAGATTTGAATTTTGATGAAGTATATCTTTTTTTTTTTTAAATTGCTATGCTTTTGGTGTCACACCCAAGAAACCTTGTGACCCATGGCCACAAAGACCTACTCCTGTGTTCTGGGTAGGTTTTGAATTTTGGGAGAGCTTTGGATGGGCAGGAAGGAGGGGAGGTGTGGGCGCGGGCTCGGAGGTAAGAGTGAGGAGCGGCAGGCAGATGTGTGGGCTCCGGTGGGGCCGGTGCAGGTGCAGGAGTAAGGCTTCTGCCGCGTGGGTGCTGGCTGGGGAGAGGCATTCTGGTTGTCTGGATGGGGCAGGGGCGAGGTGAGAAGTATTTTAGGAATAGTCATCAGGCTGCTCGGTTTGGGAGGAAAAATGCTGGTGCCAAGAATGAAGTAACGGGAGCCTGGATTAAACTCATGGGGAGGGTCAGGCACAGGATGCAACAGCTGGAGTTGGGGCCAGGGTGAGGAGGAAACTAGAGAAAGGAATCAGCTCCCGGGCCGCCCACCCGGCCCATCCCCAGCTGAAGAATGCAGCCTGGGGACAGTCCCCACCTGCCCAGACCAGCTCCCACCGCTTCTCCCTGCCCTGAGCTCCCTGTGCCATCCGAACCCCAGGCTGGCGGCCCTCAGTCGAGGAGGGGTCTTCTTGGAGACCCCGCCATGTGCAGCGGACATGCTCCAGCCTTGGTACACATGAGGACGTCCCTGGCCTGCTGGATGGTGGTAACTGGGCCTCAGGGCTCGCCCACCTGAGAGCTGTTGAGGGTAACAGGTGGCCTGACACCGTAGGGGAGGATGGGTCTGGGCCTGTGCACACGCCCACAGGGTGCAAGGTCCAGAGCGACCAGGGGGTTCGGAACATGAGCTTGAATGTCCAGAGTGTCCACACCTGGCACACGGGCTCCCATGGCTCAGGGTGGTGCTTGGACTGGCAGGAACAGTTTGATTAAACATTTGCCCTGAGTCCTCAACACGCGGGGCTGGTTGTGGGGCCTCGGAAGGCTGTCGGATTCCTGCTTCTGGGGTGAGATCCAACTGAGGGCCAAGGCCAGGAGAGGCATCTGGGCAGCTAAAAATGTCCGTGAGTGTCAGGCAGAGCCCAGCTCTCGGTGTTGACCTCACGTCTCCACTGGCTAGGGTGAAGGTACACCTGTGCCTTCAGGCCTAGAGGGACACCAGCTGGGACGGGCTCAGCTGTGCCTTCTGCCACCCCTCCACAGCCCTTCCCATGCTGCGAGGCATTGACTGTGTGTCCTTGGGTGAGTCACCCAACCTCTGTGCCTCAGTGTCTCCTCTCTAAAAGGGGCACTGCACAGGCCACCATGTGGTGTCTGTTTTTGAAGGGAGGGTCCATGGGTCTTCTGTTAAGTTCTGGTGTCTCTGGGGGAGACTGTGTCTTAGCTCTTAATTCTGTAGAATGGAACTAGAGTCATTTGTGACATTGGTTCTCTTCCCATCTTCACGGCCATTTGCAAAAATTGTGGTTGCTTGTCGGAGCTTCTCCTGGAAATGCTTGCTCTGTGGGTGTAGGTTTCCTTTGAAATGGAAGTGCTCTGAGCTGGAGAGCTGTGAGCAGCCTCCCTGCAGCCCGGCATCTCTGCCGCTCTGGTCTGCCACGATGCCCGCAACCTCCAGGGGCCACCCAGCCACACTGGTGCCCAGTCCCAGGTACACGGTGCTCCCGCTGCAGCTGTGGACATGGTCTCATCCCAGTGGTCACTCTGGTGCATTCGCCCACCACGTTGTGTTCATCCCCCTGCCTCTGCACTCTCCCCAGGGTTCAACGTGTGCAGGTTGACCCCAGCCGCTGCCAGGCGGTCCCTGTGCCCCCACCTGCTGTTCCTTCCAAACACCACTGTGGGGGTCCCACCCAGTCCCCTCCGTGTCCATGATGGAGAGTCACCTGCAGGCCACTTGTTACTTCACTCTCAAGTTCTGAGTTGGTGCACCAGAGCAGGACAGAATTTGGATGGAGAGAGGGGCACAAGTTTGTGGGGAAAGATGCCACATAGAAGAGAGGACAGCAACAAGACACCCTCCCTCCTGGTCCTCAGCCTCCGGCCAGGGCCCCCTAGGTCTCATCCACAGGGACCACTCAGCAGAGGCCAGCACTCAGGATGGATGCTCCCCAGGCTACCAATCTCAGGTCTTTTCACACCAGGCCCATGTCTCCCTTGGGTGCACCTACAGACAGGACCAGATGGATGGAGCAGCCCTGGGTGCAGGAGCGGGCAGACTGTGGGAGGGCGTATTACATGTATGACAGGACGCATCTTGTTTTCCCACATCTGTCAGTCTGGACTCCTGCACAGCCCCAAGCCCAGAAAGGTGCACGGGGCAGAAAGCTTCCTGTCTCAGGCGTGGAAAGGGGTTCCCCCAGGACCTTTGGGGCAGACCACCACTCAAGTCCCATGCTGGCCACTGACTGCTGGCGATGCTGTGCAGATCTGAGTGGTTTTGAAAACTGAACTGAATTCAGCCATAGTCCCCAAATACCAGCCACAGCTTGCAGCTTGAACTTAACCATGTCAGTTTCCTGCTGGAACAAAAAAAAAAAACAACATTCTCCACAGAATTGCAGCAAGACAGAGTCTCCTTATGTAGTGTTAAAAACTTCCAGGATGTAAACCAAAATTATTCACCATGAAGACTAGGAAAATCTCAACAACTCTCAAAAGAAAAGACAACAGACAACAAAGAATCAACACAGGGACTGGAGTAACTATTCTCTAAAGGGCAATAGCAGATACTCTTGAAATCAATGCAAAGATAGACCATCACAGGGGAGAAATAAACTCTATGAGAGAAATAACTAAAAATTTTTAAATTGAAAAATATGGTAGCTGAACAGAAAACATACTTCTTTAGTTCATTAGTAGAATGGAGATGACAAAGGACAAAATCAATGAACTTGAAGATTGATACAAATCATCTATTCTGAACAACAGGAAAAAAAAATTGGGGAAAAAAGGAGAATAGACTCAGGGACATCAGTAGATGTTTAACATTTGTGTCACCCAAGATGCAGAAGAGGCGAGAGTGGTGCAGAAGAGTTGAAGAAATGATGTCTAAAAACTTCCCAAATTTGGCACAAGATCCATGTACAGATTTAAGATACTCAGCAAGTCCCAAATGTGCATTCTATCACAGACTGTGAAACCAAAGTCAAGTGTCAAAAGCAGCCAGAGAAAAAGGACTGATGATGTGTAGTAATCCTGCTGTTTAAATGCAGAGTTATATCAGCTAACTGAAAACCAAAGTCTTAAAACACTGTTTGAGCCCAGATGACAAGCCAGCAAGAGTTGCAGGGCTGTTTGGACACAGACGCTGGGCCGCAGGGTGGATCGGGGCTGGGCTCAGAGCCCCAGCCTGAACCATTCTCCTCAGTAAAGATCCTGGAAGCTCCAGCTTTCGAGAGTGCGGGTCGGGGGAACTGTCCACTTTCTGCCCTGCTTCTGTGTGGTCTGTCTGATGCTCCAGTGGGCAGAGCTGGGGATGTGGGGATCACTGCCCTGGACACGGGCCATGGCCCCTCGCCTGGCTTTACTGATAAGAACCAGCCTGGGGTCAGAGGCCTCCCAACCCCAGGTGGATGGGGCCACTTCAGGAGCGCAGAGCACCTGCCCTGCCCTTGGCACAGAGGGCTCAGACCTGCATCCTGTCCCTGGAGTCCTCCCAGCCGACAGGCAGCTGCCCCCACAAACTGTGGCCTGGCTTAATCAGCCACATAAGGTTCGCCTGCTGTGCAAATGGGTCTGCTTTAAACACTCTATGCAGAAAAACAATGTGCTGGTGCTTGTGCCTGGCCAGCCAGCTGTTAGATGTGGAGAGGTGTGTGCAGACGCGACCGGTCAGAGGTGCAGGTCTGCTCCGAGGACTGGTCTGAGACTCCGGGAGCGACACCGATGACTGGAAGGGGGTCCCCCTCAGGCTGTCTTGGGAGCGAGGAGCCTGGCTGAGCGGCAGTTACCAAGAGAGGCCCCTGGTTTCCTGCTCAGTGCCCTGGGTGCAGGTGTGGGGGGCAGAGGGCTACCCCCCAGGCCAGTTCTCGTGCTGTGAGCTTGGCTGGTGGGACACGGTGTGACAGGCCTGTCCCACCTGAGGCCATAGCAGGTCACCTGAGGGCCACACACCTGCTGTGCCTGCAGCCAGGACGGGACATTTGTGAGCCCACATGGGCTTGGCCCTGCGGCGCCCTTCTCTGCCCTGCAGACCTGAGGCTTCTCCTGCCCGAGGGCCTTCCTGGCCCTGCAGCCATGCACGTGGTGACTTCACGGCCAGGACAGGAGCGTGGGCCAGGGTCTGGCATGTCCCCTGACTGACCCCTGGGTTAAGTGCCCTGACCTCAGGTCTGTGACCCCTGGGTTAAGACCCTTGACCCTGCAGTGTGACCCCTAACTGTGGTCTGTGACCCCTGACCACTTCTGTGTCCCTGCAGCATCAAGATGGTCTTCATGTGGACGAGTGGAGACACCTTCAAGACGGCCTACTTCCTGCTGAACGGGGCGCCCCTGCAGTTCTCGGTGTGTGGGCTGCTGCAGGTGCTGGTGGACCTGGCCATCCTGGGGCAGGCCTACGTGTTCACCCGCCACCCACTGAAGCCAGCCCCCCACGCGGCCCACCCCACCAGCGCAAAGGCTCTCTGAGGCAGCCGGGAGGATGAGCACGCGGGACCGAAGCTTCTGGCCCGACCACCTGTGCTCCACGTGGGCAGCGGAGGCCACAGCCCCGAGATGGGTCTGGCTGTGGGGGACTCGCCTGGCCTCCAGCTCTTGGGCATGGCAGGGTCTGGGGGCCAACGGCTGCACTCTGTCGCCCAGGACTCCACCAGCGGGACTCCCTAGGCGGGGCTGCCGTGCTCTCAAACTGACAGAAAATAGGCCTCTTTTCCACTTCAGCTCAGGACACCACTGGCCAGAGCCTGGGGCAAGCTCACAGCCCCGGGGGCAGTCCTGCACCCCGTGGGACCCAGGACCTCCGGGAACCTCCATGTCTCGGGCCCCGGGCCCCTGACGTGGCGGGTGGGGGGGCCTGCAGCCAGGCTGGGGGTTTCAGGATGGGCAAGACGCAGCAGGAGTGAGAAACAGCACCAGGGAGCCTAGGTCCCCACCTGAGGGGCCCGCGGTCTCAGGCCAGCCGGGATGATGCACCGCAGGGTCAGGCTGGGCCATGTGGGATGCCAGGCTCCGAATTCCTAACCCAGGGCAGCACCTTTCCAGGCCCTAGTGGCCTCGCTGCTCCACTGGCTCCTCCTGGTGAGGCTGCTGTGGACCCAATCACGTCCGGCAGAGCTGTGGCCTGCATGGGCCCGGGGTGTTGGGAGGGGGCCTGGGAGCTGGTGGGCCTGGGGTGTGCCCGGGAAGGCTGGGGGCCCAAGTCCAGGACTGGGCTGCCCCAGGCATCCATTCCCTCTGGGAACTGTGCCCTTTTCAGATGTAGCCCAAGGCATCCGTCTTCCAGGCCTGGAGGCACCTGCGGGTCAGGGCAGGGGGTGGCGGAGCAGGCTTCCCCACACTGCCCCCATCTTCTGCGCGGCCCTCCGTGTCCCCTGTGTCTGACATTGGCTCTCTTCAGTCTACATGGGCACCTCAGTCTCCTGGGCGAGTGTTCTAGATACTTCTGCAGGCTTCCCTCAGGCACTTCCCCTCCTGCTGGGCAGAGGGCCTGTGGCGTCCATGCTCCCCGGGCCACTGCCAGAGTGCCCGTGTTCATGTGGTCAGTGGAATGCGTGCGAAGCCATCTCCTCCTCCTGACTTTTCCTCAAAAGCTCCTGAATGTTTGAGGATCCCGTGCAGATCTCTGACCTGCAAGATGCTCTGAAAATCTTTATTTTTTAAAATGAAGGGAGATGTCTGTCGCCGGGTGCAGTGGTGCCCTGTGTGCCCCGTGTGGGAGCCCCACAGTCCTGTCAGGGTGACTTTAACTCAATAAACTGCTCGCGGATCCAGTGTAGCCTCATGAGTGGAGTTGGAGCATGGCCCAGGGCAGAGTCAAGGGCCCATCTGTCCTTCACCTAGGGGATCCAGGGAAGTGCTGGGCCAGCACCTCGCCCTGGGGACAGCACTGCCTGTGACCCCGGGGTCGCCCCTCAGATCCCTGGGGGACAGCGCTACCTGTGACACGTGGGTCACCCCTCAGGCTCCCGGGGGACAGTGCTGCCTGTGACACGTGGGTCACCCCTCAGATCCCTGGGGGACAGCGCTGCCTGTGACACCGGGGTCACCCCTCAGAATCCTGGGGCAGTGACCGCCCTGTGCCGGTGGGACTAGGCTGAAGGAGGCAGCCCCCTGTTCACCAATTCATACAGTTCTGTTGACAACGGAATGTCTCAAGAGGTTGGGGAATGTCAAGGCCAGAAGAGGTATTTTAAAGAAAACACACAATTCTGTATAGAAGGTCGGGTTGGAGCTGTTTGTACTAAGCAGCTTGTTTTAGAGCATTTATAATGGGGGCAAGGCCAAAAAAATCCACCAAGTCAAGATACATGAAAGGGAATTATTTTAAGTTTTTTTGATGAGTCACGCCAGCGCTTGAGTGTCCGAGGATGAGGTTGGCCGCTGGAGCTGACCTGAGCTGGTGACAGTCGACACGGCAACCCCAGGCAGCACAGAGCCTCAGTGTGGACCCCAGATTCCCCGTACTGAGTGGTGCAGGGCAGGGGTACTGCTCTGGCATGGATGTTTATTTTCCCTCTGATAATATGTTAATTCAGAATAACTATTTTAATTAAAAATTATTCAGTAAAAGTTTAAATAGTTTAAAAAAAAGAGGCAAAAAATATATGGGGTGCCATTTTGGGGAACCCATCTTTGTTCCTGAGAACTTACCTGTAGCCTCCTCTGACTTGACTGATGAGCAGAGAACCAGCTCGGAAGCGGCTTGTGTTCCTCTGAGGAGCTGCCTTTGGAGACCGAGCAGAGTGGGCGGGTTCACAGGCCTGGTGCCACACTGGCCAAGAGGGCTCTGTGCCCGGGCCCTGGACAAGACGTCCACTAGCGCAAGGCAGATATTTTTAATAGTAATTCCACCTGGGGCTCCCAGTGAGAAAAATATATGAGGGTCACTTTCATAGCTCTTCCTCTCAACAAGGGGGACATTTTGGAAATGGGAAGAAGACAGTGCTGCTGCCCCGGCTCCTGGGTGAGTGACTGCGTCTACTCAGAGTGAGAGCAGGTGAACAGCTCAGAGAGCTGCCTGCCTGCCCACAGCTCGAGCGCCTCTTGCTGCCCGTCCTGGATTCCAGCTGGCCAGGAGGAAACTGTGTGTTTGTGTGGGGGGGTGCATTTTCCTCTGAAATAAGAGGTACCAGAGTTGGGCCTATTTTGGCAGCAGATATGGGGGTTTCGGACCCATATCACTGACGGTGGAGCACATTCAGCCCTGGAGTGGCCCTGGGGATCTGAGTGAATCCCCGAGCCCCCAGGTGTCAGCTGGGGCAGTGGAGGGCGAGTCGGGGCCCAGGGAGGTTACAGCATGTGCAGGAGCAGCCCTGAGAGTAGGGGGCTGTTTGCTGAAGGTCCCTGGAATGTCACTGACGAGACCACCCCTTTAAACGTGTACAGACGTGTTCAGATGAACCAGACAGCCCTGGCAGGAAGCAGCCGTGGCGCATTGTGTCTTGCAGGACTCACGCAGACTGTCCCAGGGAGCATCTCGGTGTGGGCTTCCAGGGTGGGCGCGGGGCCACAGGCTGGCAGGGACCCGGCTCGTTCCTGCCCCCAACCTGGGTGGGCAACGGAGGCCTCGGCCAGCAGAGGCCCGCCAGCCCCCGGCCCGGGGGGCCACGTGGAGGGTCGGGGCAGCACGGGAGGAGCAGGAAAGCCAGGGCTGGTGGCCCGCCCAGGCGCTGGGGAACAGCTGCCCCCGTCCCTGCACGGCTCTCCGCAGGGTGGCCCACGGCACCCATCCTGTGACCGGCCGTGGCTCTGGTTCTGCAGGGCTCCACTGCAGCGAAGGGGGGGTGTCCCACTGCTGACTGATCCCTCGGAGGGACGGTCGGCGAAACCCCCCGCCCAGGAGGAAGTCGTTTCCCCCGGAGGAGTAGACTTGTGGCCGAAGAGCCGCGTGGGCACAGACCCTCCCCTCCCCTGGAGAAGCAGCAGCTCCGTGATGACCGGCTTCCAGCAGCTGCACGCCCGGGGAGGGGGCCAGGCGCCCAGGAAGGCCGTGGGGCCCCCGGCTGACACGCAGGCCTACAGCGTTGCTGGGCATTCTGAGGGGACAGCAGATGAGGGCTAGGAAGGGAGGTCAGAGGTCAGGGCTGGCACACACCCCCCCCAAAGGAAGTGGGGGCTGTAAGCACCCCCATTACTTGGTGGGCATGTGGCCTGTACAGAGGCTACGTAAAGGCCTCCCTCTGAGGGGGCATGGCCCCCGAGGGTGACAGCAGGAGCAGGAAGGCACTGCCCTTTCCCCACAGCTCCCCAAGGCTGCCCCCCAACCCCACTGAGCCCCACAGTGACCAGCGGGGGAAGGTCAGGGTGAGGCTGAAGGACAAGTGTGGCCTTCTGGCATTTGCTACAGGCCTGGAGCTTCTAGGATTATGGAATTTATTTTTAGTTGGCCATGGAGGGGAAACTCTGGAGACAAAAAAGGAAAAACCTGGGTGGGCAACGGAGGCCTCGGCCAGCAGAGGCCCGCCAGCCCCCGGCCCGGGGGGCCACGTGGAGGGTCGGGGCAGCACGGGAGGAGCAGAGAGCCAGGGGCTGGTGGCCCGCCCAGGCGCGGGGCCACAGGCTGGCAGGGACCCGGCTCGTTCCTGCCCCCAAACCTGGGTGGGCAACGGAGGCCTCGGCCAGCAGACGCCCGCCAGCCCCCGGCCCGGGGGCCACGTGGAGGGTCGGGGCAGCACGGGAGGAGCAGGAGAGCCAGGGCTGGTGGCCCGACCAGGCGCTGGGGAACAGCTGCCCCCGTCCCTGCACGGCTCTCCGCAGGGTGGCCCACGGCACCCATCCTGTGACCGGCCGTGGCTCTGGTTCTGCAGGGCTCCACTGCAGCGAAGGGGGGGTGTCCCACTGCTGACTGATCCCTCGGAGGGACGGTCGGCGAAACCCCCCGCCCAGGAGGAAGTCGTTTCCCCCGGAGGAGTAGACTTGTGGCCGAAGAGCCGCGTGGGCACAGACCCTCCCCTCCCCTGGAGAAGCAGCAGCTCCGTGATGACCGGCTTCCAGCAGCTGCACGCCCGGGGAGGGGGCCAGGCGCCCAGGAAGGCCGTGGGGCCCCCGGCTGACACGCAGGCCTACAGCGTTGCTGGGCATTCTGAGGGGACAGCAGATGAGGGCTAGGAAGGGAGGTCAGAGGTCAGGGCTGGCACACACCCCCCCCAAAGGAAGTGGGGGCTGTAAGCACCCCCATTACTTGGTGGGCATGTGGCCTGTACAGAGGCTACGTAAAGGCCTCCCTCTGAGGGGGCATGGCCCCCGAGGGTGACAGCAGGAGCAGGAAGGCACTGCCCTTTCCCCACAGCTCCCCAAGGCTGCCCCCCAACCCCACTGAGCCCCACAGTGACCAGCGGGGGAAGGTCAGGGTGAGGCTGAAGGACAAGTGTGGCCTTCTGGCATTTGCTACAGGCCTGGAGCTTCTAGGATTATGGAATTTATTTTTAGTTGGCCATGGAGGGGAAACTCTGGAGACAAAAAAGGAAAACGCAGAACAGGTTGGTGGTGCTCCTAGGGTGAAACTCTTTACTCCAAGCACAGGATGGCTTTGACCCCCGAGTCAGGCCGGTTAGGCCCGGGCCAAGTTCCGGTGTGCGCAGGTCGAGCAACATGCAGGCTGACGACAGGAGCCGTCCAGCCCCTCTGAGCGCGGAGTGGGGCGAGGACGCAGTGCCGCCCCCAGGCCCCCGACTGTCCCCGCAGGTCAGGTCGGCCCCGCCCGTGCTCACGGCCCCTCCGAGGAGGCCCCGGCTGAGCCGGCGCCATCAGGGCTCTGTGAGCCGTCATCCTCAGTGGCGGTGGCGGAGGCGGAGCGCGTGCTGTCCTCGCGCAGGGCGGGCTCAGGGCTGGCGGCGCGCTGCTGCTGCTCCTTGAGCTCCGAGTAGGAGCGCGAGAAGGTGTGGAAGATGGAGGTGACCGGGAAGGCCATGAGCAGGATGCCGCTGAGGATGCTGCTCAGCGCCACCACCTGCCCGGGCAGGCTGCGTGGCACCATGTCGCCGTAGCCCACAGTGGTCATGGAGATGACAGCCCACCAGTAGCTGGCTGGCACGCTGGAGAAGTCGCGGCGCGCGCCCAGCTCGCGCTCGGCCAGGTGCACAAGCGGCGCGAAGAGGGCCATGGCCACGCAGAGGAAGAGCAGCAGCAGCCCGAACTCACGCGCACAACGGCGCACGGTCAGGCCGAGCGAGCGCAGCCCCAGCGAGTGGCGCGCCAGGCGCATCACGTAGAGCACGCGCAGCGCCCGCAGCAGCCGCAGCACCAGCCCCGCGCGCTCCAGCAGCTTGTTGCCTCCCACGCCGGGCCGGGCCGCCAGGCCCACGAGTAGCGACACGTAGAAGGGCAGGATGGCCAAGATGTCGATGATGTTGAGTGGGGTCCGCAGGAAGGCGCACTTGCTCTCGGCCTGCAGGGAGCGCAGCAAGAACTCGAAGGAGAACCAGGCCACGCATACCGTCTCCAGCACAAACAGGTTGCGACACTTAGGGGAGCACTCACCCTGCAGGGAGAGGGGGACTTGTGTTGGGGGCACGTAGGCCTATCCCTCCTGGGCTGCCCCTCCTCCAGATGTCAGCACTGCAGGGCAAGGGTTGTGCACAAAAACCCAATTACTTTTTTTTTTTTAACAAAGAAGTACTAGGAGGTGGGCTTCCTGCGAGGGAGTGAGCAGAGCTCAGCTGATTTGTTTACAAACAAAACAAAACAAAACAAAACCACTTAAAGCTCCAGAAGTAGTTCCAAGGACAACAGCAAATGAAACATTTATTCAAGAAAATCTATGGAAATTCATTTAAA